GACACCAAGTCGTCAACCAGCAGTTGACGACATTCATACCATATTATGCACGAACATATCAAGTCATTACCATCTTACAATTTTTTCGGTCTAACAATCATTCTCACCGCCGTCGGTCGACTTCCCGCCATGGACTCCTCTTCAGCAGCCTACCTTTTCGAGCAGAGCTGCCATGCGAGTGGTGAGCGCCTCCCAGAACACCTTGTCGCTGAAGGCCTCCTTGTAGGTCTGCAGGTACTGGATCACCTCCATGTAGTAGCGGCGCGACACGCGCTCGCCGGGCAGCTCCTCCTCGTACAGCACCAGAGCCGGCGTCGTCAGGTTCACCAGCAGCCTGACGGACATTGGGTATAAGAGATGGAACCAGCCTGACGGACAACTGGGCGTCAGATGACGAGAGACGGGACCAGTGTCGGTGCGGTCAGATTCACCAGCAGTCTGAGAGACGAGCGGACAGCGTTATAGGAACAGGATCCAGAAGAGCATCGGCCAGGTCACCAGCAGCCTGGGGGACATCAGACTTTGTCAGATAGAGAGGTAGAGGACAATGGAGAGAGCTGTGTCATCGGTAAGCACACATGCACAGACACCTGTCAAATTCCTCACCTGAGTGTAACATCCAGCAGCTCAACGTCACTTGAGTGGTGTTTGATAATTGGGATGAGATCCTTGACTACCACTTTGGTCTCCCCAAGTGCTCTGCGAATCTCGTGGTTTTCATCATCTCTTCGCAGGAATCGCACCAAATCCTTCACACATTCTGAAAGTAAGACGCGATTAAACAATGCAACAAACAATGCATATTTAAATCTCTCTCACAGTCTGACAAATCAGCCTCGTCAGTAACCCGTCGTGCACACCTTACAAGGCCAGCAGAGAGACATACATCCTGCATGCCAGATCAGGTGGCACAGCTCAACATTTTACATGATACAGCAACGACTGCTTCAGGCAAGGCAATGCGTGGCATAAAAATAAGAGCACAAGTTACGCGTTACGAAGTTCACATATCGGCTGAGCATCTCTTACCCAGACACTCTGGCTCCCTTTGGTATTTTCCTGTGGCATCGTCCAGGTAGCCGAGGCTGTTACAGGTGGCAGACAGGTCCGCCATCAGCATCGGGTCGATGGTCAGCGTCGTCATGCCTGGCTGTAAATACAAGCGATCTGCGATTGTGACGTTTTTAGCGGACATAGCAAAAAGAGTGTTAGTTGAATTACCTATTATCTCAAAAGGTTACCTAAAGACCAAACTTAAAACAGATCAGTTAAATTTTGGGCGCAATCCTGCCATTACACCAGACATATTTGGCATAGCGCGGCGTCCTCTCGGTCCTCTCATCCTCTCCGGGGATAGGGAGCGGCGGCGGGCTACCGAGGTGACTCGGGTCAGTTGTCGCACCGACCGCACAATGAACCGCCCTGCTGGGCCCTGTTTCACCGGTGCAGTGATAGCAGCACGCTGCTATCAAATTGCGCGAGCTGACGTAATGTGATGACGTCATACTGCTGACGTAAGGGGCAATTCTGGCGCACGATTGCCGCAATATTGTTTTACGTCATCAACTAAATTTTCGAAGTTAACAACCAAATTTCCCTTAAAGGCAGACTGCCACGGGCCACCTTTTTTCCACAAAACGGTTTTCACTAGAGCTGAGCCACCTATGTCCCAGACTGAAGTCGGTTTTCCGAAATTCGAACCCGTTTGCGAGAAATCGGAGACCAAAGTTCAGTTTGATGCCATTTTTTTAGTCCAAGAAAACCGACATCTCTACTGTTTATCGATAACTTTGAAACATGAATTTTCTTATCTTTTGGTAAATATATGTCAAAACTTTGATTGTTTCGAGATCAGAGAAGAATTTTGGAGTGTCAAAATAAAAGTTAAACTTATATATTCAGTAGTTCATTTTTTCCAAAAAAGTGTGGGAAATGGGGTTTAACATGGGCCAGATCCATTCCAAATGAGCCATGATTTTTAAATGTTTTACGAACTTAAATGCAAAATAAATTAAACATGGCCAATTTCTTATGAAATCATATATTAGTAAATCATAAAATACCTTACTTTTTCAAATAAAATGTAATAATCTTATGACCTTGAAGTCTAGTGATGTGTAAACATTGTCGCTAGACATTAACCGATTGATAATTGTATGATAATCGACAATTTTTTTCGCGATTCACGTGATGATACTTTGTCAGGTGAATTCTAAAATTTTGTTTTGTCCAGGGAATAAATCATAGGCCGATCTGAGAAAACTTTTTGAAGGTGGCAGTCTTCCTTTAAACCCAACCCAACTTTAAATGCATCATATTAAAAAAATATATATTAAAATAAATATACTATTATGACTGCGTAAACTCTTACTTTTAGGCTCATACGTCACTTAATGCCGCGGCCAAGGTCGCGGCAATCGTGCGCCGGAACTGCCCATCACGTCAACAGTGTGGCGTCATGACATGACGTCAGCTCGTGAAACGTGATAGCAGCGTGCTGCTATCACCGGTGAAACAGGGCCCTGGTCAGCGAGCGGGCGTCCGAGGGCAAGGCGGCCGCTTGTTTCGCCAGGTCATCCATGCTCTAATTTCTCTCAATACCGCACTGGGCAGGAACCCACTGCAGTATTACTCAAAGGGAATAGCTCACTTTCATGAAATTAGTCTTTTTAAATGGATTTATGATTTGTTATCTATGCTCAAAATGATCAGCAAAGAAAATAAAATAATTTTTTATAAAAAAAAATATTTTCTATATTTTAATATAGAAAGATAATTCTTTTAGAACTGAAGAGTTCGAACTCTTCAGTTCTAAAAGAGGGAAATGATCCCTGCAAGGCATATATTCCTCAGCAAGACACTTTTTTCTTTTTCGGGAAGAGAAATGGGATATATTTGCCTAGGGTGATCATTGGGCCATAAAAGCTCCTGATTTGTGCTTGTCTTAGCTCAGGCTACAAAACTGCTATTCCAGTTAGAACCCCATGTTAAAAGCGAACTATTTTCTTTAACGATGCTCGGCAATGTTCAACAAGGTTTTCCATACCTATCTCCATTCTCCACGCCAAGGATTGAGGCCTCACTTAGGCTGCCGCTCCTCTGTTGAGTTACTCAGGGCTGCTCACGCCTCACCAGTTCGAGCATGCGATGACCGGGACAGGGATATCTCATCCTGAAACCTCTCCAGAGCTGCCCACGGGAAGAATCTGCTGCTAGACTGACCAGCGTGCCGACTATTTATAGTGACAGTCTTTCGTCAAAGAATTATGCAGCCACCCAACACCAACAAATCAGCTGCCGCCATGCACTGAATTCGGCACATGTGAAGTTACGCTGGACATGCGTGGAAATTTCCAGCGCAATCCTGCCACTACATACGCCAGACATATTTGACATAATGTGTATTGTTTCCGGTCTGGACTGAGTGAGCTCATCAGTTCCCCGTCATACATTTGCGGAGTCAAACTCAGCGCAAATTTAAAATTTACAGTGTCAAGCTGCAAAACAAACCGCACCTACCTACCGACATATTATTTCAGCGCTTGAATTTGGACAGCCTACTCACCTTGCTTGAAGTGCTCCGACCGATAGATTAAAGGCTGATACAGCTTATTTTTGCTTGAATTCAGGGAGAAGAGGCCAGAGAAGACACAATTTCAATCGTGACACTCAGCGAAATCGTATCTTATTCTCACCCCGAATGAAAAACAAAACAGAAGATCCTCCTACCCTCATACAAATGCACCGATCTGCAAAACAAGCGCCAGTTCCCGCGAAAACTGCCCTAGGTGTTCACTATCAGTAAAACTACATTTGCTTGTTTCATGAGCAGTATTAAGACGAATCAACTTGTAGTTAATTTTCAATTAGCCAATCAAAATTCAGTATTTGCTAGCGCGAGCAGTGCTTGAACAAAATAGATTACTACCATATCTTCCCGCCATATCCCAGAGATCCCTTTACGCTGTACCTTCACTGAATGCTCATCAAAGGACAGCGGACATTTAATGATTTACGATACCTCATACCCCGTGCGCGCGGTCCAAGGCCCTATATACCGCGCGGTCCACCTCCCCCCGTCCACCCTAACCCCCTGTGCGCGCGCTAGCTGGCCCGTGCGGGAAGTTCTAGTGCACTGTGCGACCGCAGACGTAGAGTTTCACGAATTGGACACTTAGCCATGAACACTCGTTACCGGTCACAGTCGCCAGTTTTTTTTTCTCGTGCCATGTGGGACAAGTACAGAATTTTGGTGTTCGTTGAAGGCACATCTTGCTGTTGCGGGTTTTCTCATGAATAATGATCACGTGAGCCGCCCGTGGTCGACGGTCGCTAAGGGGCTGAGCCGGTACTCGCGGCGACTTGGCGAAGTCGCCAGCGTGACATTTGCGCTGCTAGTGACCGGCGCGAGACCATGGCACGGCGAATTTCTGTATCTGCTGCTAGCAGACAGACATTTGGCGAAGCCGCTGCCAGAGCAATGTCGGACTGCCAGCAGCAGATTCGCAAATATCAATGTTTCGCTACATTCAGCCACAGAGACATTCAGCCAGCTGCCCTAGTATCCATTTGGCCCCGGGTCGGGCCACGTCTGGTGACCCACCTGTGTCGACCTACGAAACCATCCACTACGAATGTAACCGTAAGCCAGTAGACGGAGTCCGACACTGTGTAATATCTGTCTGATTCATCCTGTTCTAACTACATCCCCACTCACAGACCGTGCCGTCCGCATAACTGCTTCCAAAAGAACCCCGAATAAAGCAATCGGGAACAGCATCGGTGGCCACATTGCGTGTAACAAGCACTCTGCCATTTGCTCTGTGAGTTAGTAGAGAAGTTTTCCGGGCGACATCGCTCTTGTCGCGTTGTTACCAAATACCAGCAGTCCACTGCACTATACGCAGAGGACGCCTCGTTCGCTAGCAGTCCGCCAGTATGGGCGCACAGTGTGTCGAAGCGCCCACTGCAGCTCCCCGCTCCGCGTCCATAGAACCGACTCGCGAGTAAAGTGCATTTGCTGACACCAAACCGTGTCCTGGCCAATGAAAATACATTCACGGGTTACGGTGAACAAATTGTGAGTATTTAAACGCAACCTGGACAGCTGCTGCCACAGTGGCAGAATCAGAAGGCGCAATCAGTCAACTATAACAAATAAATAAGCTCTAGTTCTAATACTTCAGGCAATAAAAGCGTAACAACCAAACATAGCACCAATAACGAAAACAAAGTGCAGCGTAGACTAGCCTGAGCAGGTTGGAGCGCCTCAGCTTGCATTCCGTCATGCTTTCAGCTGCAAAACACAGTCACGGTACTTGGCGAGAAGCTGGCATACCAGTTGTGCACAGCTCATCAATGGCTTATCTCGATCCCGGCCGCGGCGGCGTCACACATGCACCCCCCTTCCGCCCCCCTCCCCGGGGGTTGGCCACGGGACCCAACAATGCGTCCGTGCCGGCCATTCCGGATCAGGGACGGACATTTGGCCGTCGTCAGACGCACTCATGACGGGCAAACGAGTCAAACATGCACTAAAACAGACCACTCTTGGCTTGTCATTTAAATTAGAGGCGTGGTTTAAGCACTCAGACGCGGCAGGCCTCCCCTCAATTTGCAGGCAGGTACGTGCAAACGCGCGCTGGCAGGCAGGCGGGTGAGCAGGCGGGCTGCAGGCGGGAGGGGCCGCGGCGCCGGGCCGGCTGCGGGCCGTGCCGTCAGCTACTCTGTGAACGAACAGCGATCGGTCAGTGTCGGCGGACCCGCCCGTCCGAAGACAGAGCATGCGGGTGGCACGGAGCTACAGCGGGGCTGAACACACAAGCTGCCAATACGGCAGGCAGGGAGGCACCACGCAACAGGTGGTGGTAGTCATGGCAACGGTGAGTGGGCGGCAGCGAGCATACGGGTGCGAGCCACGAGCGACAGTTAACAGGCTGCACACGAAATAATGTCACACACGGGCACCACAGAGCAGGCACATGACGACATATTGTCCCACGCGAACATTACAGGGCAGGCATACGACTTGGGCAAGTCGGGAACCAAGAAACAGCAGACGAATGCGCAGCGCAGGCATGCTGCAGGCGAGCGAGGCGGCAGGTAAGGCTACAGCTTAGCTATCTTTCCACTATTTCCGATAAGAAAAGAAACCGTTCACTGATACCTGTCTGGGCGACAGAATAGGACAGAAAGAAAGGATACATATCACGGTTTATGTTGATAGATGTAGTGTGGACTATTAAAAAACAAACACCGGTGCCATGTTAGCAAACCACTAGCTGCTGGTAACGCGCGCTAAAACAACAAATACAGCGCATAGCATCGGCGCTTTATTCCATTCGGCACCGACTATGGAATACAGACGCGCTATAGCTCTCGATTCCGTACAACGGATGACTGTTGCTGACTATGCAAGATCGACTAGATGCTCAAAATGAACACGATTCCCGCCGACGGCTACGGGTGCCCCTGTAAAACCAAGAACAAACGCGCCCAGCCCCGGCCCTGCCAGCCCGCGGCGGCGGGATGAGCTCGGGACGGCGGGCCTGCGATATCACGTGAGCGACACTGGGGGACAGTAGCAGAACAATACCCGTGACCGGTGGTCGGATTGTGCACCGTGCTATGACCCGCACACGGCACGGTCAGCTGACATAAAATATGGCACCGGGGGATCAGCCAGCGAGACAATGCCATGATTCAACACATGTGAGCCCACTGCAACTGCCAACGTAACGACGAAAACGCGTTAAACGGCACCAATAGACCTCAGATCCTGGGATAGTACTGGCCATAACTTAGTGTACACGCAGAGACGCACACAGATACACACGCGGGCGGAGCAGAGAGGCGGACAGAGTGGGCCGACCCCAGTGAGGGCAGTGGGACCCCGCCCCAGATCCCGCTCCGCCCATCCTGAGGTCCCGGACCCTCGGGCGCGCCCTGAAAGCCCAGGTTCGCCACACGGACGCCACCCACACCCCGCCGCGCGGACAGCACCACGCAGCGATATTATTCCTCTGTTTACCGCCGCCTGAATGGTCACCAGCAGCCTGCGCCCGACAACAGGCATTCTGCGGCCGCCTATCCTACCACCCTCCCCCTCCCGTCCCGGCGCGCGGCGCGTCACTAGGCGCCGAGCAGCGTCTCGGCGCGGCGCTGCCAGTCGGCGCTGTCCCGGCGCACCTGTCGCGTGTTGCGGTCCACCTCCGGGTCGGGCTGGCCGTAGGCGGGCGGGTTGGCCTCCGGGTCGTAGCCCAGCACGCGCAGCATGGGCGCCAGCTCGGCCATGTCGCGCACCACGTCCGACGGGATCTGGCCGACCCACTTGGAGAGGGCGTCCAGGTTCACCGGCTTGATCACCTGGTCAGAGGAGCGCTCCGTTCTGGCCGCAGACGGGGGCGGGGGCGTCAGGGGCGGACCTACAGCAAGGAGGGTGGTGACACGACAAACGGACGCTTATGTATGGGGGAGTTTCCTGGACATTGGCGGTTATTGTGCTCTCCGAGTGAATGCTGTGCTAGTGAGGGTCGATAGACAGCGGACCGGGTTCGGACGATCAAACCAAACAACGGACGGGTCAATGAACAAACAAGAATTTAGTGCCAACTTCCAACAGAAAAGGATTCGATTAATTACTCTTCACAGCATATGCCGATGACAGGTCCAATGAGAGAAATACTAGCCGAGTGGGCGTTCCACTCCCACCATCTCCATCGTTACTCCCGGAGTCGTAACCCGGCCTGTCAGCGACTGAGGCGACTCACTTGGAGAGCGACACGCCGCCCGGTTTGTTGATGGCCTGCTCGTGGTGCAGCACCGTCTCGTTCCAGGGAATCTCCAGAAACTGGAGCATGCGCTGCATCCAGAGCCGCGGGTGCAGCACCAGCTGCTCGTAGGGCACGCGCAGACACCAGCGCGGCCCCAGCTCCAGGCACTGGCGGTTCATCGTCTCCATGGCCGCGTTCCAGCGCTGCATGCACTGCCGGTAGCTCTTCAGGTCGAACCCCGTGATGGTTACCTGGCGGAGACGAAAGGGACACCGTCACTTGTGAGACTGATGACAATGTACGGTGGTAACTTGTAAACATACACATTAGTGTGCCTTCAACATAATCACAGAGGAGACATGCAGTCAGGGATGCATGTAACATATCGGCTTCCTGCTGCTCGTTCTGTTATGACATTGTGGATGCCAGTGAGAGGTGGAGACTGGAGGTCCCACTGGCCGCAGTGGGTCCCAATGGCTGGTGCGGGCCAGTGGGATGTGGGCGCCACACTCGGGGAATGGGTCAATAACCAACGCCAAAACATGAACTTAATAAACGTCAGCGCCCGTCAGTGTGGGCTATTCTAGGCGATATAACCGACCTCGACAAGTTCACAGTTCACAACTCATTCAAGACGCTCCGCGACAAAATATCGTTAACTCTGACGAGGTGCCCTGACCTGACCAAAACACTAGAGCAAGTAAATCCTGGAAGTTGCGTACGATGAAAAAGTGCCGGGGAAGTTCTTCAATGCGACATTCACAAACACACCTTCGTCGCATTAGACTGACACCTATCAGAAATCATCATAATGGAATAAGTTCGCAGACTGAAGTGAGGATTGCCGAACTCTCCAGGGGACCTCACAAAAGAGATGAAGCTCTATATATTCGCGTTTTGGCACAGGTGGGCCGTAAGCACCGCAAGTCTGCACTGAATTCATTAGACCAATCCCATCACAACGTCTCTAGTATGTCGGGGGAGTTTATAAATTTTCAAGTAATAAGTTTTGCGGCCCTGGTGGCGCAGTCGGTTAAGGCGTCGACCCGCGGTGCGGGCGGTGCCGGGTTTCGGGTTCGATTCCCGGTTCCGCCCGTTCCGCGGGCGTCGTCCCCGGCTGCGTCACCAGGTGTGGGGTAGGCTCCCACTTCAGCCGTAGCCTGGAGGGTGGGGAATAGGACGGCGGGAGGAGCAGGTGCTCTCTCCTATAATTGGGACAAGAGCCCGTTGGAGAGAAGTCCGACTAAAAAAAAAAATAAAAAATAAAAAAAAGTAACACCGCAGTAGGGCTTGAAGCGACTCGTAGAAGTTTTGACGGAACAGCACCGCCGGCTGGGACTTATAATACATTAAAATTTCAGTCATGACTGGCAGCCTTGGCAGGTCACTGGCTCCCTGCCTGCCGCTGGCGCAAACAAGAGTTCACGACCACTTAGCGAAATAAATCACCCGGAGAAGACCCGTGCTGGGTATGGACTGGAAATAATAGAGATAGAGCAGGGTTGAGGGAATACATTTTTGATCTACCGCCCGAGTATCACGTAACGTATGGCACAGGCCCACCCGACACCGGTCCTAACACCCGTGCCCTTCCATCACGCCTCACCCAGACCTCTCAGTCCCATCCCGCACAAGGGGCGGGGGGGGGGGGAGTCCGTCCCGTCCAGTCCAGGGGGTGGGGGGGGGGGGGGGTCCGCTCCGACCAGTCCCGGTCACTCACGTGTCTCGATATGATGGAGTGCACCGTGGCCCGGCCGTCCCGCACCATGAACACAAACTTGGCTCGCGGGAACAGCCGGTGCAGGTAGGTGGCCGATTTGATGGTGAACGGGTCCTTGTTGCAGAGCCGCGGCGCCGGCTCCCCGTGCTTCACAATCACCTCCAGGATAAATGACGATATGGCGGAGTTCAGCACCTGCCCAGCAGTCGCAGCACTCAGTCACAGTGTGAGTCACATGGGCGAGCACAGAACGGAGGGGACGGCACAGCCCGCAGCCCACATAAATAATCGCCCGGGGTCGCAGATTACATGGTGATCTCACTCTGTGACCTCAGGCCTCTCAAATTACACGATCTTCAGACAGGTCACAGCCCGCCGCTGCCACCCCCGCCGCCAGAGCGTTCCTTCCGCTCACCTCGTCATTGAGGCCGGCCTCCTCGAGTCGCACACTCTCCTTGGCCGACTTTTTCCAGTGGGAGTACATGCTGAGTACACGCGGGATGACGCGCGTCTCCTCGCCGCAGCGCACCATCGGGTGGGCGTCGAGCATGGCGCGCGCCAGCGTGGTGCCCGAGCGCGGCATACCACCAATGAAGATCAGCGGCAGTGTGCGGTCCACCGGCGAGCCACCGAGCAGGATCTGCGCGCGCAGGGAGGCGCCGGAGGGTCAGCTGACAGGGCCGGCCGACCTGGGACGGGTCAGGGCAGGGCGGTGGCGCAGGACAGCCTTGCAGGCTACCGGGAGTTCAACTACGATTTGCCAGTGATGTAGGTAAGTAGCTGCTCGTTGTAAAATATGAAATAATAGTAAGCCACAGTCTAATGAAAATTACTTAAGAGCAAAAAATAAAATAATTATATGAACAAAACCACAATACTGCACGAAGTTCGGTTATATAGTAATTACACCAAAAGCACACAAGGTGTTCGTTAGTTTCACATAACCATTACCTATATTGATCCGCAGAAAAAGCATAAAATGGTGTTATAAGTGAGCGTATCTGCCCGCTTTCCCCTGCCGGTGCTCACCGGGTTGATTGGTGCCGACGGCAGGATCTGCACCACTCTGTCATCACTGGTGAGGCAGGGTGGCCCCAGCAGCTGATGCACCAGGAGCACCAGTGTCAGCAGGGCGCCGACGGCGGCCAGCCAGCGGCGCTGGGGACGCCACATGGTGCCCCCGGCCGGCCGATCACCTGGGAGAGGGGGCACACGGGGTCAGCAGGGGCAGCCAGCGGCGCTGGGGACGCCACATGGTGCCCCCGGCCGGCCGATCACCTGGGAGAGGGGGCACACGGGGTCAGCACGGGGCAGCCAGCGGCGCTGGGGACGCCACATGGTGCCCCCGGCCGGCCGATCACCTGACGAAGAGGCACACGGGGTCAGCACGGGGCGCAGGACCATCAGGGGCACAGGGTCAGCAGAGACACAGCGTCAGTTGGGGCAGGCCACCATCGCTGGCGTTTAACCCAAGCCGGGCGGTCACCTGGTAGATGCAAAAGAAAGCAAATAATTGCCTAGTCATCGCCGTTCACTCAACCCACACCGCCGCGGTACGGTTGGCGAGGTGTTCCGTAACTATCGGAGACCAGCCTACAGACTGTTGTGTTTATTCTGTCCATCGTGATAGCGATACGCGTCAAAGTTCGTTTCGCGAAGTTCAAACCAGTCAGTGAAGACGCTAGCACTGGCTCCGTTTACGGATCGCCTATTGATAAAAGCTGCAGCCTGTACCGTCGACCCCGTGTTGAAGGAGACTGTGGCCGCGGTATGGAGCCACAGGCTCAGGCCCATGACAGTTTAGGGCCGCGATCACAGCCGAGTCCGATGGCGGCAGCAATGACTACCATTTTTATTTGTAGGTATAGCCGGTGCCGATCGCGGATCACGGGACTCCCATAAGGATGATTGGAGCTTTTATATGCGGATATCGACTGCCGCACATGTAAACCGGGCTGATTGCCTCGAAAAGGTCTCAGAAAGGACAGCGCCGAGCAATAACAATTACTCTGGCGTACGTGACGCACGTCGGCGGCTCTCCGAGCGGCTTGTGGGCGCTACCAACATATGAGAGCAAATACGACTGGCTTTTATAACATTGTTTGATACAACAATGCATTGCGTTTACAAAGAGCTGCACAAAATGTTATGGATTCGTTTCGTGGAGATACACCTGGCCAAGGCAAATGGACATTAGCATAATGGGTCTCGCTCAGTATGCAATTTATGGTGGGTTAAATGGCAGCGAGTATTGCAAATTAGTTCAGCTAAACGATGGCTTAACATTTAGCAACGTTAGTACCTACCCGGTAAAATTACAGTAACGCACGACATTTTATCAGGATTGCTGCCGATTATTACCAGTCAACGGAAACGCTTCAGACAGAATTGGGAAACAGACAGACAGAAATTGGGAATTGAAAAGGGAAACAAGTGCAGTAATAAATGCAGCATTTGGTGAATGCAGTGCAGCATTTAGCTGTCACTTTTCTCTTCTATAAGTGTTTGAAGAGTTATAACAAAACAGGAATATCCCTAACGTTCGCCAAACTGAAAGTAATGACAGCATCTCAGCTAGCAGTTAGCACTAGCAGTTAGCACATTTACCTTTCACTGCAGCATGCCCGCCACATCGATCCGAGCTACAAAGTGCACCGCTGGGACGGTCCATAGTGCACCTTCTTTAAACGGCCAGTACACACAGTGACACTCATCGACCCGCCGCCAGAAGCAGTCGTCAATGTTCAGCAGTGACAACTCTGAAAGCCAGCGGTGGCGGCTTCCCGGCGCGTAGTAAACGACTGTTTACAACAGCCTCATTGTCGCTGGCAATCAATACCTACATTGTGAAGAAGAAATGTTAATTATCAAGAATAAGCAATTTACGAGTGTGATGATAATATGGTAGTGAAAAATGAAACATAAGGCCCTGAATTAAACGACTTGTTGAAATGGTTGGACTTTATACAGAGAAGGTGCACCGGTAAGCTGGGTAGGTAAGCAATAACTCCATGGCCCTTGCTTTGGACCATCAACTGATTTATGTTTTAGGGCCTTGAACTGATTCAATGGAAGGAAGACAACTTTTTTTGGAGAGCACGTTCCGTGTGACACTTACTGAGCACTTGCGCCTAGCTCGTCTGTGTCTAATTACCTGTTAAGCCGTGCATTTTCAGGACATTACAGCAAGCTTCTCGGTTGGTGCATCCAAAATTACAATTACTTAACGTTACGGTGCATCGACCATATGGGTCTTACAACTGTAATTCCTAGTTCCTAATATTAACATACCTGCGAACAAATTCAGCCATTACTTCACCCCACCGCGGGGATTAAATGGTAGCAAACGAGAAAAAAAAAATGCTTTTACGAGAGCAAACCGTGCATAAGCAAAAGGGTCCCGACTCCCGAGTTTCCTATCACACAGCCAAGTACAAACACATTTTCTCTCAACGTGGGCCGTGCGATTTTCAGACCCATGGTTTTCATATTTCAATGAAATGCTGCAAAGTATAAGAGCTCACAGACGAATTAGCTGACACTTCGCGAGCGTTTCAATTATCGTGACCTGTGAACCGACTCTGTGCTGACTACTAAATGTATTGCGGTGCAGTCCACCTTCCGGCGTACACTTCTAGAGCCATCTAGTGGCAATAACACACAACACAAAGCTGCTTTCGCATACGAGAGCCAGGAGGAAGGTAGGTATTTGTTGAGTGTTTTTATAACGTTTATGCTTCGTCAAAACATAAACAAACCAAGAAATGTCGCATGCCAATAAGGAACTAATCAAAATCACGGAATCACGAGAAATGGCTGTTTACATAATACGTTCCAATCTAATCTACTCCAAAGCCTGAGGGAGTAACCGACATGGAAATATATTGCTGTGTGTGGAAACAAGCCTCTCTCAGATTTGAATCAACAGCGTTGGTACCTTTATCATTATTGTTGGTTTTGAACCTGAGCCCGATAGGAAGTTAATGAACTATTTCGACTCGGGGTTCATCATCAGCCCAACCTGTCGCGGCGCAGATCGGTGCGGTTTCCGTCTAAATACGGGTATGTGTGCGTGTTACCGGGTGAATACGGAGTCGACCGAACGCAGCTCTGACCGTGACGCCAATCAGTCAGCTATTTCTGAACGCTGCCCATTAACCTTCGCCCCAGTGGGGGGGGGGGGGCATATGTTACCACCCTGTCGCGTTTTTTGCGTGTGAATAAAAAACCGCGGCGCGTAGCGCCGCGCCGCTTGGGGTAGCTTTTGGTACATCAATTTTGGACAATGTGTGAAATTCTTGACCCCAGGTCATGTCAGGTCAGGTCACCAGGTCAAGTTAACTGACCAAGCCTAAAAAAAAGTTTGCAATCATGTCCAGCCTGCAGTGTTTGTCAGAAACGTTTCAAACTTGGTGGGTTGCATGCTGTTATGGGCGCCTACAATTTGTATATCTCGGATTTTTTATATCCGTGACCTAAGGTCAGGTCAGTGGCGAAACCTTTCCATTACAAGTCAATGGAGAAAAATGAAAATGCCTCTAGATCCGTGTGTACGCATCGGAACAGTCCAAATATTTCAGAATCACAATCATTTAGTCCACTCGTGATGACCAAGGTGTCATTTTTGCTGATAGCCTCTAGACAGGTCATCCGAGGTCACTTGAGGCTACAAACAGTTTTTTGCCAATAACTCGCGATTGGAAAGAGATAGAACGCTGGGGATGGTCTCATTGTGTTTTCCTTGTTGAGACGCATCGACTGGTATGCAACATGACCTTTTCCGGTAAGGTCATGACCGTGACCTGAGGTCAAATTTTCAACTTGACCTTTCAAGGTCAAATTATAGTTCATTCGACGCGTCTCGGCGAGAGGAACACGATTCTGGCAATAAAATGTCGTGGCTTTTTGTAGTCGAAAGTTATTGTCGAAAAACACTTTTCGTAAAAACAGCTATTTTTGGACTTTTTGCCTTCTGGAGGCCAAACCGTTGACCTGAGGTCAATATTGATAATGACCTTTTCAAAAGAAGAGTTCAAAAGCTATCGATTGCTCTTCCCTGCGTTATTTTAGCTACCATAGTTCCTGAGATAGCGGCATGTTTTCTGAAAAATATAATGACAATTGGCAAATTTTGACCTTTGATGACCTCTGGTGACCCCAATATTGCTCTAAGGTGAAAAATGACTGAAATACTTTCAAACGTACGCATTGAGAGCTATCGACTGCTTTTTACCGCGTCTTTCTAGCCCTCTTAGTTTTTGAGTTAGAGGTGGGTGGTAACATATGCCCCCCTCACTAGGGCGAAGTTGGCTGAGACCGCCACTGGGGCGCGGGTTAAAATACGGCGTCGTGTTTCAGCAGCGGCATCTCTGCCGGCTAAGTTTCACTGCAATCACCGGAACATGTGACTAATGATTCGGCGAGCCAGGCCCAGCGCAAAAAACAAGCATCCACAAATTGAAATAGGTACTGAGGCAAACTTAGAAATTTATTTTGCGCCAATTTCAAACTACGCGTTCCCGAATTCACATACTAATTTGCAGCCTGTTTCACGCACGACAAACCAGAAGCGTTTCGAGAACTCAACGCCTGGGCGGTGTTTCACGGGCTGCTGCTACCACGCTGCTATCAAATTGCGCGAGCTGACGTCACACTTGTGGTAGTGTTGGAGCAATGGGCCTGTTGATGTCTCCATGGAAACCCAATTTGACAAGTCGTAAAATCGGCGTGCTGCTATCACCGGTGAAACAGGGCCCAGATATTTAGATGACTCATTGATATTACGTTAAGCAAGCAGTTGATTTTCTCTTATGAGGCAAATGCAAGCCACCAAAGGTAGTGACAATTATGGGAAATACTCGGGGTTCTTCTGAAGCATGCATCATGACAAACTTTCAAAGAACAAAGTTACTCGAATAAGAGACACAATGCTTGTTTTTCGAGGCTCCTTTATGCTGATGGGATTTCCCCGTTGACAATTTGATTAAAAAGTATTTGCCAGGCCCGCGCCAGAGATACTCACAGATAAACTGGATTGACGACACGTCCCTCCTGCCTGGCTGCCAGTCTGTGCACTACTAGGGATTTCGCACACCGCGACTCCAGCGAAAGTGTCCGACCGCGGGCCGGGTGACCGTAGCGGCGCAGGAACTTCCCGGATCGTGCCGTCACCGCGGCAGGACAGCCGACCGATCGTGACGGACAGCGTCACGTCACACGACTCCGAGTAACGTCACCGTCATACGTAACGTCACGACACGTTGGCAACACGCGCACCGGTCCGCCACGGCCCGCTAAAGAGCTCGCGTCTCACAGGTGGTCGCGCGGCAGCTCTCCGACCGGCTCCTCCGCCCGGTCTCCGTCAGCAGCTGCGACCACACCGGCGCTACTGAGCCGTGCCCGTCCCTCACGGTCCGTGCCGAGCCGTGCCCGTCCCTCACGGTCCGTGCTGAGCGCGGAGCGAGCCGGCGCTCCTCGGTCGGCCGGCGGCCGGGTCAGAGTGCGGTCAGCAGGTGGGAGCCGCCGGCTGCGCGCACCGGATCGATGACGCCGCCGCCAGCGTTGCCACAACAGCGTCCGGTCGGTCACGCCGGCCGCGACGGACGCTCAGACGCCGCCGACCCGACGGACGGACGAGCCGTGTCGGCGGCCACTGCCACTCGGCGGAGCGGCCCGGGCAGCGCGGTGACAAGTGGTGCTGCACTGGCCGCGGATAATTTTAGACGGCCCACCGACCGCCCCGATCAGCTGGCGCCAGGCCCGCCCGGCCGGCCGCCGCGCGGAGTACTGCAGCCGACGGCAGCTGCCCAGCAGACGCCACGGAGCTCGGTCGAAACATGACCAAATTGGCCATCGAGATCAGTTAAATTGGGAATACGAGTCCCCAAGAGCCATGGTCTGGCGGTAGCTGTCGCTGTCTGAAGTTCTCATAAAAGTCCCTGTTCAAAGTTTAAAGATAAACAATGGAAAAATACAGGCATATCGTCGAAACATATCAGAACTGGGTCCATGTCTCGTCACCAAACAGCAGAACGTCGTCCAGACGGCCTGCGCGCGAGCCTCCGGCGCACCTGAAGTCTGTCCGTGTCAGCGCCGGGGCGCGGCCGGTCCGCTCGTCACGCCGGACAGAGTGGGTCACTGTCCAAGTGCCGGCGACACGGCACTGTCGCCGTCCATCACACGGCGTAACGAGTCCGACCGTGAGCCGGTGGCTCAGCAGCCCTGCCGGGGACGGTCATCCAACCGAGCCAGTCCAGACATTTGAACAAAAACAAACGGGCGACTCACTCAGCCGCCAACGCAGAGCTGAACACGACTGCCGAAGATCAGACGTTTAATGTCTCAAGCATATTACGCCCAGAACACATAAACAAGGGGTTATGTTGGTGGTTAGCTAGGTCTCCCAGCTTTGTCATATGGTTTTCTGTGTGCGCCCACAGCGGCGGCAGTCGGACCCAGTTTCCGTTCTGGAGTTCAGTAGCGCCGACCGATGGGACGGGCCCTCTCAGACGGACGGCCGAGCGAGCCTGACCCTGCCTCCAGACCTCACGGCTCGGTGGTCTGTCGCGGGGAGAGGGAGGGGCAGCGGACACGTTACAGACCTCGCACGCACCGCCAGCCGCCGACACAGCGCGGCCGCGCCGAGCCAGGACGGCCGGACGTGACTGATAGCCCGGCCACCAGACCGCCGCGACGCAACGGCGCAACGTCCGCCGGAACGACGCAGACCGACGGGCGTGCAAGAAAGCCACCACGTGTCAGCGCTGAGGCTTAGTTATGAAAAACTGTGATTGAACATGTAGTTCCTGATGCAAAATAGGTACCCAGTACCCACAAAACATTTTTTTGTAAAGCATGTAACTGAAATGGTAATATGACAACACGAATTTTAAGCTAAATGTTATTGTAGGATTTTAAAACGTAGAAAACATGCCGATCCGTCTCTCAAAGAACTTTAAAGAACTCAAAGAACTCAAAGCCCCAAATATACTGTTACTGTTATCAATCTCTAAAAGTTTCAAATTGATCGTTCAGTCGATGTAGCTACAGCGACCATTGCAACTTTTTCCGAGATAAGGTCACTTGACATGACCCGGTGACCTGACCTTGAACGACCCAGGTCTGATATTATGACAATGTGTATGAAAAAGATCATGACCAGGTGTGCCACGTTTAGATATTTGCGAAAACCTGAAGGGAGGGTGTGAAAATGCCCCTCCCCCCCCCTCCCAGCTGCATGGTGCACGCTAATAAGCCCTGGTACACTGTACAGCCCAACTCTAAAGTAATGTGCGGTTTTACCAATCTCAACGGATGGCTTTGACTGGCGATTTTTTAATGGGGAGTGATCGAAAAGAAGACGTCAATAGATAAAGTTGCAGCTGCAACGGTGACGATACATGCAAGCTAGTAGCTACATTCAAAGCTTCATTGTAGTCTGGCTAATCGTTCCTAAGCTTCAGAAGCAGAACATACCCATGACTGAAACCGCACATCACTTCTGCTGTGGACTGTACCTACCTGTGGCATAATTCAAACATGTTCTGTGACTGTGATATTCATCATCCTTTAACCCTCGCCCGTAAACGGTGTTTTGCCACCTTCGCCCATGCAGGGGGGGGGGGGGGTTGGTGCGACCCCCTGCATTTGAAAACGGAGCGTCGTAGAGCTTAGCGGAAAAAACCAACGGATTGCTCTCAACGAGATCTCGCGATTGGTGGTATATTTTTTTGGTCCTAGGTCAACATTTTGACCTACTTATGACCGGTCAAAGGTCATATTTTCGGAAAAATCTAACTTTTTCAGATTTCCGCGCCGATTGCGGCAATACGGTAAGATATATCGACTTGAAACCTTCGCTATCGTGATCCTTGATCAATTCTCTATCGTTCGGTGTATATTTCGATGTCATAACTTTAAAAATGATGCGTTGGGAGCATCGGAAGTCTGCAAGGTCATTTGTGCTGTGGGTCACATCAGGCGTGTGACGTCACTGACCTGACCCTGACCCAAAATGAACTACAAGAAGTCCCCGACGATGCCTGAAATGGATAGCAGATTCAAATTCAGGGCATCAAAATACCCCGAAAAGGCATACAAGTGCAAGAAGTCATTACAGGTCAACCGAGGTCACTGACCTTACCTTGACCTTTAGTAACCTTCAAAATGTCAACGGACATTGTGCCAATGTAAAATCAGCCAGTTGTGATTCTAAAACAATCCATCAGTGTGTCAGGTCAGTCGGCATTTATAACAATGTGAAGCAATCTCCAATTTAGCGTAAATCTGGCCGGAGGTTGTTCCCTTTATGACGTCATAACTCCGTGACCTGACATGACCTTGACAAAAAAATTACCAAAAGTTGCGCAAAGGACGCCCCAAAAAGTACTGAAAATTTGAGCAGGCTATCTGAAACGGTTCGGCGTGTAGCTAAGAAAAACCTCAGGGGGGGGGGGGGTTTCACCATGGATTAGAGATTTCCTGGATTGGCAACTCTCCGTCGGCGCCTTTGATGTAAGCGACCACGGCTGGCCACCTAGCGGCGGAGTGGTGAAGCTTCGTGAGATAGGACGGCGGAGGGTGGGACGCCAAACCCTATGGTAAACTGCGGGCCAGGATCGATCGAATTTAGGGATTGAACGGCTGGGTGCGGTGTGTTAAAACGAGCTTATGGTATCGGGAACGTCCAATAAGTCCATATTTGTCCTTAACGAAGTAATCGGGGCATCAAAGTAGGACATTTGGCCTCGGGTAGAGGACATGCGCGCGCAGTCGCCAAGCTCTTATGCCGGAGTAAAATGCACGCATGGACATCTCTTGAAAACACACCGTTCCATCTTTTCCATCGTAAGAATAGTCAACTCATTTTCCTCCACGCCTCAACCCCCTGATTCAGGCTGGACGGGCAAGTTTATCCCATGCGGGCAGGCGGCAGCTCCATCGGAGCACACCCGTAGCCGGGTGCAATGAGTGTTTGGGGGGCTGGGCAGGCTGTCCAATTGGATGGACTCAGCACTAACGGGCTCTTCTTGCTTAGGCACGTCGAATGCTATATTCTTTGCTTTGGTAAGGTCAACGATCGGGTGTTGACCTCAGGTGAGGGTAAAGCCACTTGGGTCACGAAGTTGATCGAAGGAGGTTGTATTGTATACCTATTATTCGATTCGATAGGTATTAATCTGAGTCCATTGATGGCTTTCGCGACTCGCTAACTCGATTTGATAGGGACTAACTGACGAAGAGCTTATTTGCCTTCCTGACGTCACGCAAGGTTAAATAAATAATGCAAATGTTAAGCATCGTACCTTGCACGGACCGTACCTATAGTCAAGATTTCATGCGATTCGCATGCGAGATTCCTAGTCTTAGATCTTTTTCGGCGCCAAAATAACAGTTTCCATAGTTCCCCGCATTGACTTACCTAGATACTTATAATGGTGAGGTCATGTTAGCGACCTGACCTCAGGTGCCCTTTAAGAAAAATCCGATATATACAAGTGAAGAGGTTTTGGGACTGGGAACAGGGCTGCGGAGTCGAAGTCGGAGTCGACAGTTCTGACCGGAGCCGGAGTCGGAGTCGGAGTCGATTTTGCCAACAGGAGCCTAGTCGCCGAAAATCCATCGACTCCGCAGACTGCATGGACGGAGTTCTATAGCCTTGGTATGGACCTGGAAAGGCTGCACAGAGTCGGCGTCGAAGTTAAAGTCGGTCGGAGTCGACAGATCTGCCCGGAGTGGGAGTCGAAGTCGGAGTCGGAGTCATTGAAAACCAATGGACTCTGCACTCTGCAGCCCTGCTAAGTTTCATCTTTCTGTGAAAATGATCTGGCACTGAGGGCGTTGCGAAGTTGCGGCATTGAACTACAATTTCAGGACCGTGCAGAATTGCAGAGGTTTACGTATGACGTTATAGGTCAGTGACCTGACCTGAAAATGTGGTTGGTTTCACAATTTGAATCAAAGGCCTGGTGTGGGGTTCCAAGTTTCAGCTATTTATCCCCAGCGCGATCCGATCACTCGCGAAAAACCGTCAGGGTTGGGCGACCCTTGAGTGACCCGCCCCCTCCCCGTCGGCCGGCGAGGGTTAAGATGTTCAAGTTAAATCTTTCTCAGCTCATAAAGATCATGGAAAACAGTGCTGTTATCCTCTATCAGTTGAACTTCGAAGGTAAACTGCTCAAAAACCACCCAACCACCCCGTCCCATCATTGGAACGCATAGCTGCCAAACACCGGCGTCCTATCTGGAGTTGGCGCATGCGCACTGCGATATTTGGTCGCAAATCGGGGGAGAGTTGCCAATCCAGTAAATACCTCATCCATGGTTTCACCAACCCCCCCCCCCCCTCCCCTACATGGGCGAGGGTTTAATATGTGTGTCAAGGTAAAACACCCACCAGCTGCTTTTTCATTATCACTTTGACAATCAGACCCTTTGTTATATTGCTATATGTTATATTTGTTGTTATATTGTTATGTTGTTATATATTATAGTAAAGAAATCTTGATATATAACATCTCGTTTTGTGTAGGTACAGCCCCCAGGCCAGCACGCTGCACGGTACTGGTAGGTCAATTCTTTTTTCGACAAACTAATAACTCAAAGGCTATCAGTTGGTCAGAAATCATTGCACATAAATGCACCATAGTCCATACTGATCCTTCGATTGGGTCTATCACTACGAAATATATGCCTAGTGTGATAACAAAAATAAAAGTTTGTTTTGGGGGCAAATATAAACTTTTGTGTGTTGTTCTCAAGCTGGATGGAAAATATATACCGTGACAAGTCAAATCTAAGGTGTGGAGCCTCGTGCATCTTGCTATTACAATTTCAGAATAACCGATAGCATAGTATTCAATTTATTCTCAGTTTTGTCGAAAAAAAAAAACTTTTTACCACGCAGGGTGCAGAGGGCTGTATGCGCAACTGCTAGGTATAATAGGAGATTCTTAACAAGTGTAAGAATTGCCTGAAGCAAACATTTGAA